GCTCTACACCTTGTTATCTCAGATTCCCCAGCATCTGCAGTTCCTACTATTTCAGGCAATTAACAAGCTCCTTAAGGAGCTTCAGGGACCAAAGGTGCCCTCTACTCCATCAGACAGTCTCTGGGATCATAATTTTCAAAACCTGCCCACTTCTCATCCTTTGAAAGTTCTGGGTCAAGTCTCTGTGGACTGATCCCTACCTCTCATTTGTACGAAGTCCAACTGAAGAATAGTTTGTAGCAGTGATGCATTATCGAGTGTTAAATCAAAATCAGTATTCATGCGAGGTTGAAGTATTCCTTTTCCCCACTGTTCATCAATAAAATGTACACGCCTTATTAAAGCATCTGATATCTGAAAATAAGAATTTAACATGTCATAAATACACTAACATCTGATTAATACACATCATTAGAGACACAATACCAGACTTTACAACTAATGACTGACAGCCTTTTAAAGTATATTATAATTATCATTCTTATTTTACATAATATATTATTAAAACTTTACCATGGGTTGAAGTTGAGTGCAGAACTGTGTCTTTCAGGATAAAAATTTTAGATATGGACACCCTTTTGTTGAGTTTGTAGTTACTGCAGATAATCTATTTGAGGTTTGTCAGTAATGTGGCCAGAATTGAATCAAACAGACTGAATATGCATTTCGAAAGGTTTTAATAAAAGAGGAAATAATGTCCGCATTTCAATACATACAAACAATTATGCAAATAAATGGAATTATTTCTACATATTGGTTTGAACATAGTCAACAGTCAAAAACAATTCTCCAAGCATAACAAAATGTGGAGCTGGAGGAACACAGCAGGTCAGGCAGTATCAGAGGAACAGGAAAGCTGACGTTTCAGGTTGGGACCCTTCTTCATTTTCTGAAGAAGGGTCCCGATCTGAAACGTCGGCTTTCCTGTTCCTCTGATGCTGCCTGGCTTGCTGTGTTCCTCGAGCTCCACACTTTGTTATCTCTGATGCCAGCATCGCAGTTCTTGCTGTCTCAATTCTCCAAGCACTTGCTTTACCTAGTTAGAAGAGACAGAGCCAAAAATAAAATCAGGGAAAGCCATGCAAATTGCTGAATATCATTTAAACAGGACAATCAGTAAATCAAATGAGAGTATTTACAATTACACACTGACCTGTAAAAAGCCACTGGGGTCATTCTCCTTAATTACCTCCAAACAGTATTCCATCAGGCCAGTTGTTTGGCGCAGTTTAACTGTGCAATGGCTGATTTGATCTCTGACCACCTGAAGGGACAAATACCAACAAATCTTAGGATACCGTATCAAACAATTTGGTTGCACAATAAACAATCCAACAGGAGCAACATATCAAATGTTCTAACATGCCTAGGTGTGTAACTGCCAACAGAGAAAGGTGCCTAGCTGCAGAAATAAAGGTTTGATGCACGTCTCCTGAGAAACAGTTTTGACAGAAAACTTTTTAGGATTGGGGTTGCAAGGATGGAGTGGTATGTTTGCGTTCACTGGTGATTTGATGTCTAGTGGAAATGCATGGATCATGCAGGCATAAGGTTTGCAGCTGATTGGTTTCCAAAGGTATTATGTTTGCTGAAACCCCTTAAGGGGCATCATGATGGCTCAGCGGTTAGCAAGGCTGCCTCACAGCGCCAGGGACCCGGGTTTGATTCCACCCTCAGGTGACTGTCTGAGTGGAGTTTGCACATTCTGCCTATGTCTGCAAGGGTCTTCTCTGGGTGCTCCACTTTCCTCCCACAGTCAAAAGATGTGCAAGTTAGGTGATTTGGCCATGCTAAATTACCATGTAATGTGTAGATTAGGTGCATCAGCCATGGGAAATGCAAGGTTACAAGGAAACGGTAGGGGACTGAGTCTGGGTGGGATTCTCTTCAGAGGGTTGGTGTGGAATCATTGGGCTGAATGGCCTGGTTCCACACTGTAGGAATTCTATGAAGAATGAGGGATTCACTCGCTTTATGTGCATGTGCCTCAAACCTCAAAAAACAGGCATTCCTCTTGTGATTTCATCTTGGTTTGATGAGGAGCATAGTCCTTCTATTTCTGTAACTTGCAGGTTTCCTACCACTGATCTGTGAGGTTTTGCAGCAGCCTACTATAATCCTAGAGATCCTTTAAGTATATATTCTCTTGCTGAAACACAGCAATCCCAGCAGCAGAACCTTATTGTCAGCATTCCAATGGCTTGCCCTGCTTTAGCCTTGTGTAGCCATGGGCAATATTATGCAGCTTACTGGCTGGATTTAAAAGCTTTATGCCTGGTGTTACAGTAGATTTTGGGTAGATAGAAATCCCAGGTGGGCTGCAGAAGTAGGTAGCTGTGGCACCTGGGAATGACAGAGAATATATTGGAATTTAGTAGATACCTGGAAGATACTTCTCCAATTGTTTTAGATCAATTGCTTGTTATTGCTGAAAAAGGTGCTTTTCATCTTGCACACACATCATTTCAATTTGCAAGAATATCAATGTAAAGGGAAAACAACATAAATGAGAGGAGTGCACTGACTGGTTAGCAAGTGGATTCTGATCAGTGAAGGTGTTGCCTTGGAGAATGATGACTGACAATTAATTGCAAGCTTTGTTTAAACTCTAAACTGGGCAGGTTTACTGGCCAAGGCATTGTCCTGAGATATGAACCAGCAAATGAGTATCACCAATCCTGTTGGGTTGAAACGGGCACAGTGCACGCACATGTTCTTGCTATCTGCAGGACCATGTGTATTAGTACATGTAGCTTCCAATAACTGCAAGTATGCCACACCAAATTCCAAATTAAACTGGGTGGACAAGATCCATGTTGCTTCCAGAAATTGAACAAGCGTGTCCTTCACTGTTAACCTGCCTGCAAATAGAACCTTGCACCTATAGATGTATGGTACTTATACCACAATCTTCTTCAACCAAACCTGGATCTTGCTCTCAGTGTCCCTTGAACTTCCCCAGTCTTGCTGACCTGCCCAATGATGCTTCTCAGGCTGTTCTTTCTTGTAACAGATTCTCCCAATGCTGAGCGACAACTCCAATTCTCTCTCCTCCAACGTCAAAGGCTGTCTCATGTTCTCCTTATGAGCTTTCACCAGTTGTGAAATTGAAGGCCCTCCTCCAACTTAATCACACGATTAATCACAAAAACTTTTGTAAATGACTATTCATCACATACAGATTGATTAATTACTTTCCTGCTGCTGGGAAAATTTTGCACTTCTATCCTAATGTCAAGAGCCTGAAACCCTGCTTTCCACCTGCCTTTTTCCTGCTCCCTCAGCCAACATCAAGCTCTACCTACTATCTTAAATAATCAGTGATACGCAGTGAGAAATTCTGCACTGTGTATATTGTGATGTAAAGTCTGTAATTTTTATATATATATATATATATATAAATCTCATTTATTTCAGAGTCTGGATTTAATGTAGTGGCATTTGAGCTTTGATCTGTGTATCTGAAGGAGTTTACTAATTACTTGTAAGTATTTCTGTAGCCATAGTGAATTCTTTTAAGAAAGGTAGGGGTGAAAGTGTTCCTGGTGTTAATAGGGTTTTTTTGCCCATTGGGAAAGATTTTATGAGGGAACAAAGTAAACAGCCTTTCAGCTCAGAAGGTCAGAGATTGATTTTTATTTTCTTTTGATTCGAGTCAATACCCATAGTTTGAAAAAAAAAACATTTAGGTTCCATTTGGGAGCTTTGTAGAAGTCTTGGCTGAAGCTGGATGTGTCAAACAGTTGCTCTTGACAAAAGAAGATGGATTAGAATTGTTAAGGAATAGGTTACCTCAGCGTGTGAAAGTTCCAGACCAAAAGTGTTTGGTTATAACCCTGAAGGAGTTAATTGAAGCTGAGAAAGTCTAAACTCAGTAGTATGAAGCTATTTGAAGAGTCTATCAGATTCCCAGTACAGGGAATTGAAACATCTGTTAAATTAGCTCTAGCGGGGTAACACAGAAGGTAATTCTCCCTGGCGAATGCTGTAAGGAAGTACCTTTGGGATTAATGGGATTACATTTTACTGGACGTTTCTAAGTCTTTGAACTTGTGTTATATATAAATAGTTTGGTTTATTCTATTTTTTTGCATAATAAAGTTTTGTTTTATTATTAAAACCAAATCTGTAGCATTGTATGCTTGTGTTTCAGTGAAAGGCATCTCATTAAACCCATTAAAAAGAAATATCTATCAAGGCAGATTTCAGTCTAGAATTGACTGTCCAGTAAAGACATCAGCTGGGACTGTAACAATTATAGCAGCTTTCAGCATTTTGGGAACTGCAAGCACAGATACAGTTCATAAATTCCATGAGCTGACAATGAGTATTTTTCGCTGATCAAGAATATTTAATCCAAAACCCCAATCTGAGGAAGCCTGATGTAAAAATTAGCAAAAGTAGTCAAAGATAATAAATCTTTATGTTAGGTTTAAAAATATTAAATATATTTTATCTTCTCTTAAACAAACCTTAACATTAGGAATTTTAGTTACTATGGTAAAATGAATCAGCATACCTTGGTAATATATCACGCTATTTCAGTTTCTACATTTTCACTAGATTGCCAGCACTTCAGTCAGAAGTTTTGACTTGCAATCAAATGGATTGATGTTTTTCTCCATTTTAATAATTTCATTGGATTAAGATTTTTTTCTTTGAGCACTGAATAGGAATCTGATATTTGAGAAATACCAGATTCTTGTGGAAGCTGGAGAAATTTACTTATATGCATTTATACAACTGGTCTAATATTTAATGTGTTTTGCATAATCATTACTCTTTGTCTGTGATCACAAAGTGACAATATTCCTTCTCAATCATCCAACCATTTGGGACATTCTGCACTTGCTCGGTTCCATTCTATATGTCCCTATATAACCAAAGTATCAATTACAAACTTCCCACTCCTGCAAAGTTACTTTCAGTATCTCCCCACAGGAGCAGTCTCTTGGTCTCCTCTTATTGCTCATCAAAATTCCAAATTCTACAACTATCATCCAGAAACACAATAAGTTCAACATGCTAAGAGATGACACCCAGCTCATTTCAATACGAGCATTCTCAAAATCTCCATTGATCCGTTACTCTTCTTGTCCAACATCAAGTTCTGAACAAGATGAAATGTCCTCCAGCCAACTATTAGAAAGACTGAAGCTGTTGGGCGTGATTTTTTGCTCCCAGATGAAATGAGAAGAATGACAAATATGAGAATTTATCTGGTGAGAGTCCAAAAATCAGATTCTCCGTCAAAACAAAATTTAGCAAGTATCTTCTTTCTCCTCAGAAGGCAAGTTGATCTTTGAGTATTCACATCGGCCCAGCCTTAAAACCTCCATTGGAAACCTGCTCCCCATAATTTGAGCAGTCTGCAGAAATCCCCCCTGTGACACTTCATTCTGCATGCAGGTGTTTTGTGCTGCTGCACACCCTCCACTTTCTCAACCAAGTCAACAGTCTGGACACATTCCATCCTGTCATCCAGAGGTAGTAGGGAGCCTCAGAAAGAGGCTGTCTACATGGGAGTGCTCCCTATACAGTGATGAACACAAAAGTTACACGTAATAAATATTTAAGGTGGTTCATGGAATCCAGGGCTGCCTGTTTTTTTTGTGGCCTTGAGGCTTTAGTATTCTACGTGTACATTAGTAGATCGCAGCTCTTCTTTCACCTTAAAAGGGCTTCTCAATTTTTGTTTTAGCTATTCAGCCTCACACTTTAGCTGTTTAGCTACCCAAAGCAGAGAGGAGGATGGGCAAATCAGAGGATCTGCCCATGAATCTGCTCTTGGGCCTCGCCACAGTGGTCATAAACCTGTTCAGGCAGCAGATGGTTGAGGGGTTACTTGGTTTGACAGCCTGCCCCTTTGTTGTGGTTATGTACAAGCACGGGTGTCACAAAATCACAGAAGCCTCACAAAAGGAGCCCATTTTGAGCACTGTGTTCTACAGAAGAGCATCATTACTAAGTGCCAATCACATCCTTTATCTCCATACCCTTGAACATTCTTTTTATCCAAATAATCATCCAATGCCCTCTTGAATGCCTCGATTGTACCTATACTTCGAGGCAGTGCATTCTGTCCCCTAACTACTCACTGAGTGAAGCTAGTGTTTTCATATCACATTTGCTTCTTTTGCAAATCACTTTAAATCCATGCCCTCTTATTCTTACTTCATTCATAGGTTGGAACCGTTTCTTTCATCTACACTTTTCAATGTGCTCAAGTTTTTGAAAACCTCTACCAGATCTCTGTTTAGCTTT